AGATAGATAGATAGACAGATAGATAGATAGATAGATAGATAGATAGATAGATAGATAGACAGATAGATAGATAGATAGATAGATAGATAGATAGATAGATAGATAGATAGATAGATAGATAGATAGATAGATAGATAGATAGATAGATAGATAGATAGATAGATAGATAGATAGGTAGATAGATAGATAGATAGATAGATAGATAGATAGATAGATAGATAGATAGATAGATAGACAGATAGATAGATAGATAGATAGATAGATAGATAGATAGATAGATAGATAGATAGATAGATAGATAGATAGATAGATAGATAGATAGACAGATAGATAGATAGATAGATAGATAGATAGATAGATAGATAGATAGATAGATAGATAGATAGATAGATAGATAGATAGATAGATAGATAGATAGATAGATAGATAGATAGATAGATAGATAGATAGATAGATAGATAGATAGATAGATAGATAGATAGATAGATAGATAGATAGATAGATAGATAGATAGATAGATAGATAGATAGATAGATAGATAGATAGACAGATAGATAGATAGATAGATATATAGATAGATAGATAGATAGATAGATAGATAGATAGATAGATAGATAGATAGATAGATAGATAGATAGATAGATAGATAGGTAGATAGATAGATAGATAGATAGATAGATAGATAGATAGATAGATAGATAGATAGACAGATAGATAGATAGATAGATAGATAGATAGATAGATAGATAGATAGATAGATAGATAGATAGATAGATAGATAGATAGATAGATAGATAGATAGATAGATAGATAGATAGATAGATAGATAGATAGATAGATAGATAGATAGATAGATAGATAGATAGACAGATAGATAGATAGATAGATAGATAGATAGATAGATAGATAGATAGATAGATAGATAGATAGATAGATAGATAGATAGATAGATAGATAGACAGATAGATAGATAGATAGATAGATAGATAGATAGATAGATAGATAGATAGATAGATAGATAGATAGATAGATAGATAGATAGATAGATAGATAGATAGATAGATAGATAGATAGATAGATAGATAGATAGATAGATAGATAAATAGATAGATAGATAGATAGATAGATAGATAGATAGATAGATAGATAGATAGACAGATAGATAGATAGATAGATAGATAGATAGATAGATAGATAGATAGATAGATAGATAGATAGATAGATAGATAGATAGATGGATAGATAGACAGATAGATAGATAGATAGATAGATAGATAGATAGATAGATAGATAGATAGATAGATAGATAGATAGATAGATAGATAGATAGATAGATAGATAGATAGATAGATAGATAGATAGATAGATAGATAGATAGATAGATAGATAGATAGATAGATAGATAGATAGATAGATAGATAGATAGATAGATAGATAGATAGATAGATAGATAGATAGATAGATAGATAGATAGATAGATAGATAGATAGATAGATAGATAGATAGATAGATAGATAGATAGATAGATAGATAGATAGATAGATAGATAGATAGATAGATAGATAGATAGATAGATAGATAGATAGATAGACAGATAGACAGATAGATAGATAGATAGATAGATAGATAGATAGATAGATAGATAGATAGATAGATAGATAGATAGATAGATAGATAGATAGATAGATAGATAGATAGATAGATAGATAGGTAGATAGATAGATAGATAGATAGATAGATAGATAGATAGATAGATAGATAGATAGATAGATAGATAGATAGACAGATAGATAGATAGATAGATAGATAGATAGATAGATAGATAGATAGATAGATAGATAGATAGATAGATAGATAGATAGATAGATAGATAGATAGATAGATAGATAGATAGATAGATAGATAGATAGATAGATAGATAGATAGATAGATAGATAGATAGATAGATAGATAGATAGATAGATAGATAGATAGATAGATAGATAGATAGATAGATAGATAGATAGATAGATAGATAGATAGATAGATAGATAGATAGATAGATAGATAGATAGATAGATAGATAGATAGATAGATAGATAGATAGATAGATAGATAGACAGATAGATAGATAGATAGATAGATAGATAGATAGATAGATAGATAGATAGATAGATAGATAGATAGATAGATAGATAGATAGATAGATAGATAAAAAACAAAAATTAAGCAAATATCTATTTTTGGTAACTTCTTATCATGTTTTACAATCACATAATTAGATTAGCAATCATAGATTTTTGGTACCATTGTGGTTAATAGAATTATAGTCCATGTGTATATGAATTAATGGATAACAATCAACGTGAGCATATTCATAATAATAATAGTGATATAGGCATTTATATAATCTTCATATAGTCAGCCATTGTGGACGTGCAACTAGGATGTGTTTGTTTGTAGGGGTAGAGGAAAATGCTAACTAATCTCTCACATGGTGGTTATATAATGGAACATTTAAATTGTGGAACCAAGATTAAAATATGCTATTAGGACAGACTGTGATAATCTGTTCTGAGGTTAATTGAGCATTTTGCGTTAATGGATTTTATTAGACTGTGATCATCACGTCCTTGTTGACATGTCCGTCCCTATACTACAGATATTTTGACGACGACTAAGAAATTTATTTTGGTGGATAGACACTAGCATTGGAGACCTGAGATACATATTTACTCCTCGTCTTAACCTATCGTACGGATGTACTTATATGTGTAGTGAGTGACGTTCGTCCAACCCCGTTGTCCACTAGGCCACAGAAACTACAAAAGATAAAATAGTCAGTATGAACGATGATCGAATTGTCTTCAGTAAACATTACTGTGTAACACTGTGAGAACCAAGACAGGAAATTTAGAAACACAAGTATATAGGAAATCAACGCACACAGATCAAATACTCAACTATACTAGCATTACATGGAGGATTTAATCATGAGCTGACATCAGTTAGGGAACCACTGGAAAACCTGGGAGTACTGGACAGCCGTTTCGTCCTAGTTTGGGACTCCTCAGCAGTACGCACCCACCGGGATTCGAACCCAGGACCTTCTGGTTACAAGGCGAGCTCGTAGACCATTGAGCCACTGGGACCCGATCCAATGGTCCTTGAATTCTAACTTCTGCCAGTACTCCCAGGTTTTCCAGTGGTTCCCTAACTGATGTCAGCTCATGATTAAATCCTCCATGCAATCAAACAAAATCCCTACAAAAACCAATACTTGAAAATATACTAGCATTAATCCAATCACTCACTCACAAGAGAAACTGTGTGCAGACATTGTTTAAAAGAGAGTTCAAACACATTGTATCAATACTCCGGTGTTGAAAAGAATGGAAGAAAAATACCTACAAACGGTCTTCAAAAAGAATTGCATATATGAACTGTAACACATATTACATCGGTCAGTTAATTGGGCGTCACCTCCGAATCAGAATCGGGGAACACAAATAAGCCGTGAAAAGACACGATATATATTAATGTTTCATATCGATGCACATAGACAATTATGGACACCAGTTTGATAATGTCGAAATTTTAGACAAAGGAAACACCACTGAAAGTGCAATCAGGGAATTCTTAGAAGCCTGGTACTCAAACGAGTATGCAATTGACAAACACATTAATATAGACCAAATATACCACAAACTAATAAGAAGTAAATCAGGTGACGAGAAATTTTAAAATCCAAGTAAATACAAAATGGTCAATACATATGAAAAGATGGTTACTGTGAGACGCAATTATATCACTCATGAAAAAATTTAAATCGTTTTACTTTATGCTAAATATTGCGCTGAAGGGTGATGTTGTTCAGAAGGACGGTGAAAGCTCTGCAACTAAATCAACCAGCTCAGAGAACACTATTAATTACTGTGAGACGTTATCAAAATAAATTTTACCCACACTAGAATTTTACTCCATCACAGTGCACAAGTTCCATACTTATATCAATGTTATCCAAGGCAGCATAGTTTCAATTACAGAAACTCAGTACGCATGAAGATGTCAAAACTAGAATAGAAAAGACAAAGCTGACAAAGCTGAAATCAGTTTGTTGACCCTATGTTCTGAAAATAAAGAATAAAATTCGGCTTTTTATTACTAATATTAGTTCACTCCTCTTAATTGCATCAAAAACTTGACGGACAAATGGGGAGTTATGCGTTTGGCACTGACGTAATAGAAAGCATTCCAAGCAGGTTGCATACATTTAATAAAAGATGTAATCTTTGGCTTGTTAATAAAGATTAGATGGTCAGAAACAGTTAGCAAAAACAACTCTAGGAACGAACCAGTGAAGAGGAGATCGCTGAGGATGACGTTGTCTGCCAGGCTGTCTAGTGGAAACCGAATGAGAAAAGATGACCTGAGGCTCAATTCGTTGATGACATGGAGGAAACCGCGGGAGTAGGGGGAGTAGGAGACAAGAGCGTATGTTTAGACGTCTGGTCATCAAATGAAGATGACAACAGAGAACAGGAAAAAATTGACCTGTGCTTTTGAGGCCCTATATTCTTCTTGCAACCCATGGGAATAATATTAATAACTATTACTCGATAGAGGCATGAATCAGAAAAAAGTCAATTCATGTTACATATATTTCAGACACTAGTCTTATGAGAGCTGTTCGAAGTGACTGTGATGTCAGAGTCAAGAAGATCAACATGAAAGCTTGTGAGTAGTCTTGTAGCTAATCGAAAGTGATGAAAGACAGTCGAGTACATCTGGGGATGGCGAAAAACCACACAAAGTGTTATTAGTGGTTTTTACACACACATATTTCTTTATTTTTAACACACACACAGCAATATCAGAGTTATTTACAAAAAGAAGTTTAGCTTTTGACAAAGAAATGAACTTTGATGTGTTTGTTCTTTTTTAAACAAGCAAAATAACCTTGAAAGAATGGATATGTCCCTTTATGCTTCTTTTTGGGGGAGGGGACGATGCTATACAGGTTATCTTCTTTTCTTACCGCATTGTAGTGTTTTCTTCAGCTCTCTACGAAATCTTGTCCCGACAGCACAATATAAATAAAAATTTATAGCATGATTTGTATACATTAATACTTCAGCAATACAATCAAATAATTCCAACAGTGCTATATCCTCGGGATCTTGTCCAATATTCCATGCAACTAATAATTTGACTAGAACAACTGGTGCCGTCGTTAGCAGGAATACACCGGAGATTAACATCAGCAGTAGAGTTAATTGACGCATCTCACTAGAGAAGATTGTATGTGGACGTCTAACAATGCTATTTGTTTTATATTCAACGCCTTTAACACCAGCATACGGTTGTAGCTGCATACTCACGCAGGGATGTTTACATTTGCATAGATTAGCGCTGTATAAACTCATATTACTCTTACTTTTATGACTACCATGATTCATATTATTCAAGGAGATAACACTAGAGGCATGGGATGATGAACCGGCTATCTGTGGTGGTGGAGTATACCGATCACTGGCGTAGGATTGGGAACCACAATACAACGTTTGTGGTTGATGTATCTGTGCATCTGTACATCGATTCAGTTTCATAGAAAAATTACCAAATTTTTTGTTCCAATGATTATGAACACTATGATTATTATGATTATTATTATTACTATGTTTTATGCAGTGATGATAATATTTTGTATTCGGTACTCGATAGATCATACTAGCTCGACGTTTCGTCGCCCAACGAATATTAATCAGAATAAGGATATTTGAGATAACAATAATGATAAAGGGCAGATAACTATACAACGCGGCATCAATCCATGTCCAAATACTTCGAAAGCCATTCTCTTTGTAGACAAGGTGAAAATCACACACTCGTGAATCTGAAATAGTCATATTATCATATGTTTGTTGTTGTTGTTGATAGTATGGTAACGTTGAATTACCAACAATCTGACCCAGGAAATAACCACTGTCTGTCAATCTAGACGACGACGAATACACTGGAGTATTTTGTTCTGCGCTGCCGAAACCACTGCCGCTGCCGCCACTTCCATCCTCTTCATCTTCATTCCCGTCTCTTGTGACAAGATCAACGGTTAGAAAAAAGTGTCCACTTACAGTTGATGCTAGAATGCATAATATCATTATTGAGGTACACGAACACTTGACACGTTTATTATGAATTGAACTGATCGGTGACATCACGACTAGAGCCCGTTCCACAGTAATTAATACAATAATCCAAACAGAAATAAAACTTGTAGTGACACCAATAAATTGCATGGATTTACACAACAGCCAATGTTCATCTTCTAGCCGATAGGAGAGTAGTCGATCTAACCATCGAGTTAGCAGGCCAGTACACAGTACTCCTTCATCCATAATAGCTAAAAATATTAGATAGATATGCGATGAGGGATAGAGACTTTTACGTTTATAAAATACTAGAAATGATAGAATATTTCCAACAGTTCCGATTAAAAATAATAATGGTAATATATACTTCCAAATAATATCTATTGTATGACATCGAAATGAAATCTGGAAAGGGATACCATCGGTGAAATAATATCGATAGATTGAATTGTACTGGAAGGGTAAGAAGTGAATATTAGTAAAATTACTGGTATTTTTCAGATTTGTCGGATAATCGTTATCCGATGGGGCAAATATCGTCGTCGTATCTGTATTTATATCTGGATAACTTGAATTTGGAATGAATTTCTCCGTGTACTTCCATAAAGATTTATCTGGTGAGGTAAACGTTAAAGGTGTTGTTTGTATGTTCAGTTGTTTTATATAACCACAAACAAAATGTGAACCAGATGAGGTCATGGTGTTTGTTAAGTTTTACAAAAATGATGGGCAGAAGAAATAATGCAGAGTTCTTGAGGTATTTTCCGTTGTTGGTTGTCAATTGCATCGAATAGGATGGATGATTAGGAGCAATTTTATTTATTTATGAAGCCCTACTAATCAGCCAATCAGAATAAAAATTGTCATAACGTGTTCTGATTGGTCAGACTGATACTTCAAAATAATGAAATATACATATTGGATCAAAGGAATTGATAAATAGACGGTTGTAGGGAAGAAAATTCTCCTGTCAGCGAAGTCATCATCTAGGCTGTACATTCGTGTATTTATAAAAAATGGGTGGGGAAATTCCAGAATAATTTCCGGTCAAATATCAAATCTTTAAATATTCCCATTTATAATATTAGAACAAGACATATAAGCGAACAATATTGTTTTCAATTAGATCTTCTTCAGGCTTTACTCTAATTTACATAGACTTATATATATAAAATTTTAACCAATGACGGTGATTTAGTGGATCAAATAATAATAGTAATCATAATAATAATAATCATAATAATAATAATAGTAATAATATTGTGGTAAATGTTTTGAACGAAGTTAATAGCGATGATTATAATAATAACAAAATATTGTTAATAAGGCTTATATAGGTGATAAGAATAACAAAGTTAGTATATGCATATATGTAGACAATTCAATAAATAAATAAATTAGGTCAAATCAAATGGAACGATAATCAGAGTTTAAATAAATATCATAAAAGTACGAAGGAGAGGGATGATAAGAAAGGGTGGGAGGGTTTTGAATAGAATTCACCTAGGCCAAGGGAGAGACAAAGGTAGAACAAATTTCTTTTGTATACAAAGACTAGGATTGTTCTCTCGAATTCCCATAGCTTCGGCTAAGTGTAAAAGACGGGTTCTGATTCCGTTCGAAAGACTTGATGGAATGCGGTAAATAACTTTGAAAGCACTATTTTTGTCCACTTGGTGACCACTATCAATCAAATGAGCCAAAATAGAACTTCGTATGGACTTTATTTGACCTTTTCCGAACCATGAAGGAAGATGCTCTTTAATGCGTTTGTTAAGCTGTCTAGTTGTTCGGCCTATATAGCTTTCTCCACAGGAGCAACTAAATTTATAGATACACATGGAAGTGGCACAACCAGGTAACTTATCTTTCACTTGAGCAATCAAAATTGGCCGGCTGGAAAATGACAAACAGAGGGTGGCGGCAGTATAAGTCCGTTTTATCGCTCTCGATAATCTCTGATGTAAGACTTCACTAGCCACGTCCCCATTAAATTGCAGTTTGATGAACAGTTGTTTCTTTTTAACTGTTATCGGTTTCTCTTTATTGTACTTAGCATTCATGTGTCTCCTGACAAATCTACTAGGATAACCCATTTGGACTAACGTATTTTGGATGTATCCTAGCTCATTCTCTAGAGAGTCATCTGTACAGATGCGTCTTGCTCTATTCGTCAGGCATCTGACCAAATTGATTTTGTAACGGATTGGTACATAACTGAGGAAATGTGTATATTGTCCTACAGATGTAGGTTTTCTATAGACATCTCTCTTTAGTGAACCATCCTCTCTTCTGCTCAATTGGACGTCAAGAAAATGTAGTCCACCATCATATTCTTCTTCACAAGTGAAGATAAGCGATGGATGTGCATCGTTAAACATTTTTAACATTTCATTCTTGTCAGCTTTCACATCAAGAATAATATCAAATTAATAAAAATTACAATTAGGAATTAAAATGCCATAATAAACAGGGGGAGGGACGGATAAAACTCAAACAAAGTGGCATCACAATTACTGAGAAGTTTGACGTATAGTGTAATTAAGTGTTAGAAATGTAGAAATAATGGAAATAGACAGGGAGGTTGGATAAAAAATCTAGTAAGGCCATAACCAGTGTGAAAATTAACTGTTTATGCAGTTAGGGATTAAATGTGTAGAAATAATAAAATGACAAAATAGACAGGAAGTTCGGACATGAAAATATGGTAGTGTTAATTGAGGATTAATAAAAACCAAAAAATGACATGAACAAAGAGAAAATTTAGATAAGAAAGAAGAATTACGTGTTTATGATGGCCATGGCAGGGACAAGGGCTGAACGTATTTCTTTTAGGTACATACAGTGGGTTCGAGCTTTTGGATAGCTAGGGCGTCGGCTATCCCAAATGTCTTGATTTTACTCCCTTTAATCTGTTTGATAGAATCTTGTTTTCTCCTTTTACTAGTCAGGCCAAGCGCGTTTTTCAATTTTGCACATGGTACGGCTGATGTACTCAGCTGCGCAGGAGCAAGTAAACTGGTATATTCACGTTGAAGTAGCGCAATGTGACAGCTTGTCTTCCGCGTTCTGGCTGAACAGTTTCTCGCAGGAAAACGTCAGTCATGGTTTCGCGTGGAAGTAGGTTTTCCTTAGAGATTTCCAGAGGCATTTACTAAGGATTTTTGATTCAATAACACCTTTGAATTCTAGATTGAGCCGAAGTATCTTCTTCAGGACGGTTTAGACTTGTTTGAAAGTCTTCTATGATTTGGTTTTTATCCAAGCATCCTGTCTAATTTTATTATTTCTACATTTCTAACCCATAATTGGACAAAAGTCAATCTTCTCAGTAATTATGATGCTACTTTGTTTGAGATTCATCCGTCCACGCTCCCTCCTCACTTTATTATAAGACATTTTAATTCCTAATTGTAATTTTATTGATTTGACCCTTGATCGGAAATTATTCTGGAACTTTTCCAACCATTTGTTATAATTACACGAATGTACAGCCTAGCTGATGACTTCCACTAAAAGAAAATTTACTTCAAAATTAGTTGATAATTTAAATGGTGATGAAGATTGTTTCTTGCTAATGCGGAGAACACCAGAATCATGGCATTTTATTTCACTGTGAAACTGCAAGATAGGGAAAGGATTCGGCTATTTTACTAATGTAGAGTTGCGATTTTGACGGAGTATATTCGTAGAAAAATATTATCAGTTTGTATCCTACAGTCGTTGGTGGCTGACATCACGATTCGAATGAAAGTTTAATTTTCCTTAAATCATATAAACTTCTTCAACTCGTTGTTTCTAATTCGGGCGACACTCGAGTGGTGTCACTCCGTGGCTTCTTCGAAATTTATCCGCTTCATCTCAACTTCCTTCCGTTTATTTATAGGCACAACGTTTTCTTTCTTTCTTTATCTTTTCTCTTTTTTCTGTTATGTGATGTTTTGTTTCTCTCTTCCTTACAAACTCTACTTAAAACATTCTACTTCGTTCTTTCACACTCTGTATACCTCGACCTTTTGTTACCGGTTACGTTAGTTAAGATGCTAGTATCTACTCTTCTAACACCTTCAAACATTCTGTTTAACTTTGGCTTTGCTACCGACATTCTAATATTTTGTTGTCATAACTAACTGAGATTACCCAAAATCTATGTAGAATTTTATTTGTTGTTAATGTACTGACTGGATACAATACTGTAACAAAATGCTGAGAATTCCATTCTGTATCACAAGTATTAGTTGGAATAAAGCATATTATTACTAGCGGGCAATAGCTTCCTGTTTTAGTCGTTGCTAGGGATCTTCGTTTGCTTATATCTGTGTCGACCGAAATTTGCAATTGATAAATGTCTAAATCCTGATGTGTTCGCCAAAGTCTCTGAATTGTACAGAAGCACTTACCTTATATTAGTGTTGAAAATTCAGGCTTTGTTCCTAACTATGATTACAGCTGATTTCTGCACTCATTTCAGGTTAATTAAAGTCTTTCTCGCATCTCCAATCTCATCTGTCCCAACCACATCTTGTTGAAAGGATGATGCATAGATAAGTAAAACTGGTGATGTTTTTTTTTTCAGTTTCCGCCGTTGATGGTAACTGATGCTTACTGCTGTTTTTAGTTAGTTGTCTGCATCACCTCTGTCTTCTCTGTTTTCACTTGAAGTCCTGTTTTCCCTGCCTTAATCCTCTATCAACTCATTAGTTTTCGCCTGGTGACGTTCACGTTTGTGCTGCAATACACATATGCTCTACACGAAGTAGAAAAATATCTGTGATCAACATACACAAACAGACATTAGTGCAACTATTTAAAATCAATTAATTGTAGTAGTCACGATGTTATAATACACTGATATTCAATTTGTGCATTATTACAGCCTCATATAAGAGAAAAGTGGATTCGTATACCCTTTTAAATTTCAGGTAGTTGACAGCTAGATTATATGGTTTGAGGAATTCATCATGAGCTGACATCAGTTGGAGAACTATCGGTAAACTTAGGAGTATTGGATAGCTGTTTCGTCCCAGTTTTGGTCTCCTCACAGTACGCATCCACAGGGGTTCAAACACAGTTGCTTATTGGTCTACGAACTTGCTTTGTGACTAGAAGGTCCTGAGTTTGAGCCCGGTGAGTGTTTACTGATGAAAAGTCCTAAACTAGGATGAAACAGCTGTCCAGTACTCCCTGGTGTTTTCCAATAGTTATCCAACTGATATCAATTCACGATGATTCGCTCCAACCAATCAAATACAATCCCTACGAAACCATTCCTTGAAAGCTAGATTGTTTTATTCACCGTTTTGTAATTGAATTATTATTTCAATAATTTAATAAATTTGCATTGTAAAATTAAGAGCACAATATTC